CCCTCCCCATCCACCCTCCCACACCCCTCCCCTTTGGTAACCATTAGTTCATTCTTGGATAATGCATTAATTTTTTATTTTATCCTGGATACTGTCAATAATGCATTGTAGAGATCTGCTAATCCTGGTCTACTAATTCCAAAATCTGTGTTATCATAGGTTGCTTCTCCATTAACAAAAATAATTTTTAACTCACTTTTTCCTTTATCTTCTTAATGAGAATAAATTCCAATCCATTAATTTTTTATTTTATTCCAGATACTGTGAATAATGTATTATAGAGACTCTGGATTCTATCGTATTCCTCAGAAGAGTATTGACTTTTTTTTTTAAAGCAGGCAGTGAACTTGACTCAAATCCCACACTACCTGTAGGGGCCCTTTACTATACCTCACCTGCTGCTGTATGAGGATCTTCTGAAAATGCTGGGCCGAATTTCTGCCTCCTGCCCCTTAGAAAATTGACTTTTATAGAGTTGATATTTGGCAATCCCACTAGACTATGCTAGAAGCGTTATGTAGTCTGTCTTAAAATGTCCTTCACCCCTTGATCTAATCATTCATATAATGCCATTTGATTAAAACTAAGGAATTAATTGGCTTATAGTTCTGAAATACCTAAAACATGGCCACTTTTCATCTTTTTTTGTATGTAGGACTCTGCGTCTCTAAGCCATATGTCATCTCTTTATTGGAACAAGGGGAAGAACCCTGGGAGATGAAGGATAAGACGACAAGAAACGCGCGCCCAGGTGAGTGTGGGAGAGCCACGGCTCAGCCGCTCCCAGAGGCGGGGCTTCCTCCTTTCTTGTGCGTCTTACAGACTGTTCGCAAGCCCGGGGAGAAAACTGAAACTTCATTAGCAATGACGACCCAAATATCTTCTCTTCTGCTTGGCTCTCTTCTCCCAAGTAACTCATTTTGCACAATCTTTATCCAGTTCCTTCCCATCCTCTCTATTTTTGCCATGTGGACGTATATAAGCTTCTGTGTTTCTTTAATCTAAAATCAGTTGCTGCTTGTGAATCATAGCATACCCTGCTGCTTTAAATCTTTCTTTGCTTTCCTGTTGCAGATAGGAAAAATCCAAACCCTACCAGCCATGTGTAACCAGCTCCTTCCTAATTCTCCAGTCTTATCCACTATCACTTTTTAGCTTTTTCACTATACTTTAGTTTGTAGTTTTCTAAACTATGCAAGATAGCCACATGTTCTTCAAGTGTGCTACAGGGATGTCAAAATACTGAGTCTCAAAGTCTCGGGGGACCAGCTGGGGCCAGAGGCAGCTGAGTTCCAAGGTGGGTTCTGCTTGGATCACAGGCATTGTCATTCTTTTCCCTCCATGTGTCTGTCTGACAATAGAGTTGAGAAGCAGTGTTGGCCCATTGTTTTGAACGCACCAAGCTCTTTACTGACTAAGGCTGTTGCATTTCTTGTTTCTCTGCCTACAATGCCCCTCTCTGCACTCCCTGTCCATGCTTGGCTATCAGGCCAGAGCTCAAAAATCATCTCATCAGAGGCCTTCCCTGGTTATGTTATATAATGAACATTCTCCTACTCTGACCCAATTACTGCCTACCGAGCCATTTTTTCTTTTTATAACACTAAGGAAGGGCTGCAGTGGACTGGTTTATGGTTTACATGCTTATTTTCTGCCTCCCCTGCAGAACTGAAAGTTCACAAAGACAAAGAAATGCTGGGATCATACAGGATCATTATGCCTTTATGAACTTTCCCTTTCACTTCTGTAGCAGTATTTGATCTTTATATCTTGGGATGCTTTGGATCCTAGACTACCAGGGTCCTCCAAATGCCCAAATACTGGAAGGGAAGTAAGTCCAGCTTACACACACTTTATACTTTGCTTATGTAGGAAGCTATCTCCTGCCTTAAATAGGGAAACAGAAAGAGGAACTTTCCTGATAAGTGGTAATAGCCCCATGAAAAACAGGCACAGGAGGGAGAGGGGATGAAGAAGGTATAAATCTGGTGGGACATGGAGTCACTGTATAGTCTTCAGTATTATTATTACTATTATTTTTATTAAGGTATCATTGATATACAATCTGAGGCTCAGATTTCACATGAGCAACATTGTGGTTACTTCATTCCCCCTATTATCAAGTCCCCACCATATACCCATTACAGTCACTGTCCATCAGCATAGTAAGCTTCTCTGTGCTATACTGCCTTCCCCATGCTCCCCCTATATTATGGGTGCTAATCATAATGCCCCTTAATCCTTTTATCCCTCCCTTCCCACCCACCCTCGTCAGTCCCTTTCCCTTTGGTAACTGTTAGTCCATTCTTGGGTTCTGTGATTCTGCTGCTGTTTTGTTCCTTCAGTTTTCCTTTGCTGTTATACTCCATAGATGAGTGAAATCATTTGGTACTTGTCTTTCTCCACCTGGCTTATTTCACTGAGCATAATACCCTCTAGCTCCATCCATGTTGCTGCAAATGGTAGGATTTGTTTTCTTTTTATGGCTGAATAATATCCCATTGTGTATATGTACCCCATCTTCTTTATCCATTCATCTACTGATGGACACTTAGGTTGCTTCCATTTCTTGGCTATTGTAAATAGTGCTGCGATAAACATAAGGGTGCGTATGTCTTTTTGAATCTGAGAAGTTGTTTTCTTTGGGTAAATTCCTAGGAGTGGAATTCCTGGGTCAAATGGTATTTCTATTTTTAGTTTTTTGAGGAACCTCCATACTGCTTTCCACTGTGGTTGAACTAATTTACATTCCCACCAGCAGTGTAGGAAGGAGGGTTCCCCTTTCTCCACATCCTCGCCAGCATTTGTAGTTTGTCTTTTGGAAGCTGGCCATCCTAACTGGTGTGAGGTATATCTCATTGTGGTTTTAATTTACATTTCTCTGATGATTAGCAATGTGGAGTATCTTTTCATGAGCCTGTTGGCCATCTGAATTTCTTCTTTGCAGAAGTGTCTGTTGCTCATGTTTATATTCAAGAGAGTTTTGCCTGTGTTTTCTTCTAAGAGTTTTATGGTTTCATGACTTACATTCAGGTCTTTGATCCATTTCAAGTTTACTTTTGTGTATGGAGTTAGACAGTAATCCAATTTATTCTCTTACATGTAGCTGTTCAGTTTCCCCAACACCAGCTGCTGAAGAGGCTGTCATTTCCCCATTGTATGTCCCTCTTTGTCTCTCATTACTTTCTTTGTTTTGAAGTCTATTTTATCTGATACAAGTATTGCAACTCCTGCTTTTTTTCCCTATTGTTTGCATGAAATGTCTTTTTCTATCCCTTCACTTTAGGCTGTGTATGTCTTTGGGTTTGAAGTGAGTCTCTTGTAGGCAGCATGTAGATGGGTCTTGCTTTTTTATCCATTCAATAACTCTGTGTCTTTTGATTGGTGCATTCAGTCCATTCACATTCAGGGTGATTATTGATAGATATGTACTTACTGCCATTGCAGGCTTTGGATTCATGGTTACCAAAGGTTCAAGGGCAGCTTCTTTACTGTCTAGCAGTCTACCTTAACACTCATTACACTGTTATAAGCACAATCTGAAGATTCTTTTTTCTTTCTTTCCCCTTTCTCCTTCATTTTCTTCGTCCTCCTCTCTTTGTGTTAGGTGTCATATTCCATACTCTTTGTGTATCCCTTGGCTGACTTTGTGGGTAGCTGATTTAATTGAGCATTTGGTTAATATTTAATTGGTCTCGTTCCTTTGCTGTGATTTTATTTTCTCTGGTGACAGCTATTTAGCCTTAGGTGCACTTCCATATAGAGCAGTTCCTTTAAAATACCCTGTAGAGATGGTTTGTGGGAGGTAAATTCCCTCAACTTTTGCTTATCTGGGAATTGTTTAATCTCTCCTTCAAATTTAAATAATCTTTCTAGGTAGAGTATTCTTGGTCCAAGGCCCTTCTGCTTCATTGCATTGAATATATCATGCCACTCCCTTCTGGCCTGTAAGGTTTCTGCTGAGAAGTCTGATGGTAGCCTGATGGGTTTTCCTTTGTAGGTGATCTTTTTCCTCTCTCTGGCTGCTTTTAATGCTCTTTCCTTGTCCTTGATCTTTGCCATTTTAATTATTATATGTCTTGGTGTTGTCCTCTTTGGGTCCCTTGTGTTGGGAGATCTGTGGGCTTTTATGGCCTGAGAGACTATTTCCTTCCCCAGATTAGGGAAGTTTTCAGTAATTATTTCTTCAAAGACACTTTCTATCCCTTTTTTTCTCTTTTATTTTGGTACCTCTATAATGTGAATATTGTTCCCTTTGGATTGGTCACACAGTTTTCTTAATATTCATTCATTCCTAGAGATCCTTTTTTCTCTCTGCCTCAGCTTCTCTGTATTTCTATTCTCTAATTTCTGTTCCACTTACTGTCTCCTCTACCTCATCCGATCATCTTTTAAATCCCTTCATTGTTTGTTTCATTTCAATTATCTCCCTCTTGAATTCATCCCTTAGCTCTTGAATATTTTGCTGTAGTTCCGTGAGCATGCTTATGACTTTTATTTTGAATTCTTTTTCAGGAAGATTGGTGATTTCAGTCTCACCAAGCCCTCTTTCTGGTGTTTGAGGGATTTTGGATTGAACAAGTTTCTTCTGCCTTTTCATAGTCCTGGAGTGATAGGAGTGATCACAGGCATCAGCTGAAAGGACAAAGTCCCTTCCTGCTTGCCTGTCGCAGTGCTTGTCTCTGCTGTCTGTGTTGGTTAACTGCGCACAGACAGCAGCCTCTGGGTTAATCTCTAAACTGCTGTGGGTGCGGTGGCCCTTGGGATGGCCTTGGGCAATGGCAGAGGTCACAGGCGAGCGGCCCAGGAGTCTGCCATGAGGACAAAGCCCTTTTATGCTTCCCTGTCACAGTGCCTGTCTCCGCTGTCTCTGCCAGTTAGCCACGTGCAGGAAGCAGTCTCAGCAGGGGTCGCAGATGAGCAGCGGGGATTCTGCCATGAGGACAGAGCCTTTTTGTGATTCCCAGTCACTGTGCCTGTCTCCAGTGTCTGGGCCAGTAAGCCATGGACAGGCAGAAGCCTCTACACTAAACTGTGTAGTTGCTGTAGGCAGGGCTGCCTTCCGGCTGGTCTGCAGCAATGGCAAGACAGCAGGTTTGTGCGCAGGTGCCGGTGGGGACTAAGGAGCAGCAGGCTGCTTATCACAGTGGAGGACCTTGGGGCTGCGTTGTCGACCATGGGGATGGATCGCCTGAAGCTCCTGAAAGTTTCCAACCTGCTGGGCTGAGTGTGCAGGGCTGATTTTGTCCACCTGTTCCTTCTCCTAAACCCTTGCCCCTTTAGCAGTCTTCTGACTGTTGAAAAGTTTTTCAAAGCGCCTGCTTTTCTTTTGTCCCAGGGCACGAGGTTGTGGGAACCTGTCTGCAGTCTTAGTCTCTATTTTTGGTTTTCAGCCCCTCTAATCTCCAGAGCAGGATGCAGTGCGGGTCTGTGCTCCGGGGTAGATCTCCAGGGCTGGGTATTTGGCAGTCCTGGGCTTCCGCTCCCTCCCCGCGCTGAGTCCCTTCCTCCTGCCAGTGAGCTGGGGTGGGGGGAGTGCTCGGGTCCCAGCAGGTCGCACCTTTTTTACGTCACCCTTTTCCATGAGATGTTGACTTATCCCAGATGGAGACTGGCTGGTGCCGTCTTACTTCTGGTCACTTTTCTAGGAATAGTTGTATTTGCTGTATTTTCAAAATACATGTGGTTTTGAGAGATTTCTGCCGCACTTCTCATGCCACTGTCTTGGGGGGGAGCAGTCTTCAGTATTATTAAGTGAGTAAGACGACTCAGTGTCTTTTGAGAAAAGCCAACATGATGGCTTTCATGGGAGACTGGAGTTGAGTACTTGTGTGTGACAAGGAAGTCAGTTTGAGGGAGAAACAGGTGACGCATTCAGCTGTTTCTCTGTCTGGTATTGCTCCCCACAGTCTGTTTGTGTAAGAAAGACAGTGATTGGTTTATTGAGTCTCTAGGGCCATAGTGCTAGAATTACTGAAGCCTGGGTATTGCTGTTATGGGGAATGACCTGGGGTAGGAAGCTTGCTAACTTAACTGCACTAGTAGATTTGATCTCTCCAATCTCTTTAATTTTTATACCAACTTTACTTTTTACTACATAGACTCACACTTCATACTTCATATTCTTTTTGAATTACTTTCTTTGCTGGCCTTGCCTTCCTTATCACTTTCTGGTCTTCTCAAGAACAGTTCTGCCTTTTATTTAGTGTGGCTAATGCTTGACACATAGGAAACTCTTTAGGAAGAATTGGATCAGTTGATGACGACTTGCTACAGATGAGATAGGACAGGAAGACACTTTCCCCTGTGCCCGTTCCTGGTGTCACCTTTTCCCTAAAGTTTTCTCTAGTATCACCTCTTCAATACAGATTTCTTCATTATGTATTTATTGGGAACTTCTTAGTATGCCTGAGTTTCTGTGATACATGTTAAGTGACTTAATAGCAGTGTTTGAGGCACATTTATTCCTTCCCAAAACCTATGTTTAGCCCTCAAGGCAAGAAAGGTACTTATGTGGCAGTATATAAGAACATTATTAATAATTATAATACCAACCTGCCTCTCATTATGAAACTAGTTTCTTCAAGAAGAGATACATGGTAAAACCCCATTGAGATGTGGCCAGAGAAGTGACATTTTTTTCTAGGATAGTGAAAATAAGAAAGTGAATGGAAAAATACTTTACTATACAGCCTGAAGTTCAGGGATCTTTGAGAAATGGAGAGCTCATTGTATTGAAACACATGGAGTTGCTTCATAGGAGCACTCATTTCTAATTATGACAAGATAACTCTAGGATTTTACATAAACCCCAAGGGAAGTCACAAAGCATGGGTATTGGTGGTTGGGTTGCCTGAAATCTGTAGAGCTTTTTGAACAGCAGTAGTTATGTGATGATATTGTATTTAAACAAAGTCAACGTAGCTTCCTATGCAAGTCAGCTATAAGAAAGAATAGAGGAAGGCAATTTATAGTCTGTTACATGAATACTGGCATAAAATGTGATTACTATTGCAGACTATTTCTCCAGTACCTCAATCACCTTTTCCCTGTTCCTCTGAGAGCTCTCATTCTCTGGGGGTCTTCTTGCACTTTTTTCCATTCATGTGCCCATTCATAATAGATTTTGTGAGATTCATTACTTTGAATCACCTTTTCCATGTTAAATGTTTCTTTTGTTATAGCCCATGATAAAGGAAACGTTTGCTTTTTTGATATTTTTCAGATTGGGAATCTAGATTTGAGACACAAGGATTATCTCTGGAGCAGTTTTTATATAATGATTTGTTAATGAAGAGAATTACAAGGTATGGACTTGAGTGTTCTACTTTCAGAGAAAACTGGAAATGTGAAGATCTTTTTGAGAAGCAGCTGGTAAATCAGCAGACATTTATCAAGCAAGACATAGTCCTTCCTAAAGAAACTCTAACTGAGGAAGTAGACCACAAGCATAACAAAGTTGGGAAATTTATCCATCTGGACAATGTCCAAGAAAATACTTATAACCACAAGTCACATAAGAAAAGCTTTTCCAAAAATTCCATGGTAATAAAACACAAGAAAGTCTACACAGTAAAGAAACTTTTTAAATGTAATGAGTGTGAGAAAACTTTCACCCAGAGCTCATCCCTTACTGTTCACCAGAGAATTCATACTGGAGAAAAGCCATATGAATGTAAAGAATGTGGGAAGGCCTTCAACCAGAGTCAACACCTTAATCAACATCACAGAATACATACTGGAGAGAAGCTCTTTGAATGTAAAGAATGCAGGAAAGCATTCAGCCAAAATGTACACCTTATTCAACATCAAAGAATTCATACTGGAGAAAAACCCTATAAATGTAAGGAATGTAGAAAAGCCTTCAGCCAACCTGCACACCTTGCTCAGCATCAGAGAATTCATACTGGGGAGAAGCCCTATGAATGTAAGGAATGTGGAAAAGCCTTCAGTGATGGCTCATCCTTTGCCCGACATCAGAGATGTCACACTGGCAAAAGACCCCATGAATGTATTGAATGTGGGAAAGCCTTCAAGGAGAACACATCCCTTATTCGTCACTGGAGGTATTACCACACTGGAGAGAAACCTTTTGATTGCATTGATTGTGGGAAAGCCTTCAGTGATCACATAGGACTCATTCAGCATAGGAGAATTCATACTGGAGAGAAACCCTACAAATGCAATGTGTGTGGAAAAACTTACAGCTATGGTTCTTCCCTTTCTGTCCATCAGAGAATTCACACAGGAGAGAAACCTTATGAATGTGCTGTTTGTAGAAAAGCTTTTAGCCATCATGCTTCACTCACCCAACACCAAAGAGTGCATTCTGGAGAGAAGCCTTATGAGTGCAAGGAATGTGGGAAAGCCTTTCGACAGAGTATCCACCTTGCTAGTCATTTGAGAATTCATAGTGGTGAAAAACCCTATGAATGTAAGGAATGTGGAAAAGCTTTTAGCATCAGTTCCCAGCGGGCTACTCATCAGAGAGTTCATACTGGAGAGAAGCCCTATGAATGTAAGGAATGTGGTAAAACTTTCAGCCAGAGGACACACCTTGTCCAACATCACAAAATTCACATTGGAGAGAAACCTTACGAGTGTAATGAATGTGGGAAAGCCTTCAGCCAGACTACCTACCTTATTCAACATCAGAGAGTTCATACTGGAGAGAAACCCTATAAATGTACTGACTGTGGAAAGGCTTTCAGTGATAGCTCATCCCGAGCTCGGCATCGGAGGCTTCACACTGGTCAAAGGCCCTATGAATGTATGGAGTGTGAGAAGGCATTCAGAACAAAGTCCTCACTTATTTGTCATCAAAGATGTCATACTGGAGAGAAGCCTTTTGCATGTAGCGCGTGTGGCAAAGCCTTCAGCCATCGTCAGTCCCTCACTGTTCACCAGAGAATTCATTCTGGAGAAAAACCATATGAATGTAGGGAATGTAGGAAAACCTTCAGTCAGGTTGGACATCTTAATCTACATAGAAGAATTCATACTGGAGAGAGCTCTTACGAATGTAAGGAACGTGGGAAAGTCTTCAGATAAAATACACACTTTGCTCATCATCAGAAGATTCATGGTATAGAATCTCAGGCAGCCAGCTCCTCCTCAAGCACCCCTTGCTCACCAAGCCCTGTGGAGATACCTGCTAAATACTTTTGGAATTCGTCCACTTCTTTCAGTCCTCAATTGTTCTGGTCCAAAACGAAATCATTTCACCTGGACTATTCCAATCACCTAAAAACTGGTCTCGCATTCACTTTTGTCACCTTTCAAGTTCATTCTTCACACTACTGCCATGGTGGTCTTTTCCAAATGTACATGTAATTAAATTACTCTCTGAAAATGCTTGTTATGAAATTTTAAACTCCTTGATGCATATAAAGTGCTTGGCATAGTGCCTGACTCATACTAAGTGGTAAATATTAGGTCAGTATCTTTCCAAATGTGCTTAAAAATTACTTTCAAACACTGAAGTCTGGAAAGCAGTATATCAGTACTAGATCATAACAGTTTTGGAACTGCAGCTATCTTAGGGCAGTGCAGTATACTTAAAGCTTGATATCATAGTAGTATATAGTGGCTTCCTCATGAGACCGTTTTCCTTTACTGGTGAGGAAATTCACTGTGACTTGATACATAGAATGTTTTAGGAAGTACCTAGAATGAGACTAGAAAAAAAGTAGTAGAATTTACCAGGAAGAATGTAAAAATACAGTCAAGACAAAAATTTTAAATTCCTAATAGTCAAAGTTGAAGAAACATAGAACTTGAGTAGTCTAGCCCTACTTTAAGGGCTCAAAGAATGCTTCCGAACTCTCAAGGAACCACTAATTAAGCTGTTCTAGGGTTTAGAAAAAAAATATTTAAAATGGAACATTTTGAAGTAGTTGTAATACTTTCAGGAGGTCAGTTTAGATGTATTATCCAATCCAGGAAAAGAAATTATAGATGAATTTACTCATAGTTTTAGAAATAGAAATGAAAGTATTAACCTCTATTGAAGGAGAGCAGAGGTCCTTAATAATTGGAGATCCATACATGTTTCTGTGTGGAAGTTTCAATATAAAGATGTCTGTACTTTCACTCAATTCCAGTCACAGTCCCTGTAGGATGTTTTTACATTGACAGTTCTGAAAATCAGTAGAATGGTAAATAGGCAAGCATCACAGGAAAGTATTTAAGAAGACAGAATACCCATGAATTTAGTTTACTGCAAAAGTAATATTTTTGATGTATCAGTGGGAGAAATGAATTATTTAAATAGTATTTGACAATTAGTTATCCAACTGAACATCAGGCCCACATTACATTCCTTAAAAGTTCATTCAGTGGATTAAAGAAATAGAAAACACATTAAGATCCTAGAAGAGAACGTAGAATATTTCTCTTCGTTTTAACTCAGGGAGGCTCTGGTAAGCAGAACACCGAGTCTAAAAGCCATGAAAAGAGCAACAGGACCGCAGAAAAGACTTAAATATTTTCCTTGGTATAAACACTGCAAAGTTAAAAGACACATGATAGGCTGAGAGATATTGTAAACATACTACAAAAAAGCCCTATAAAAAGTGCTGCTGCCAAGCAGCAGGGATAAGATGTACAGTCCGAAAGCGCACTGACAAGCAACTCTGAGGTGGAATGAAAACAAAGTTCCTGACTGCTCCAATAATAGGTAAGTGGGAGATTTTAGAAGTCCACTACCAACAAAGCACAAATTGGATCCAGCGCTGTTGCAGATTTGAGAAACCGTACGTTTATACGCTGGGAAGGTAAATTGGTGGAAAGCCATTTCAGGAGGCAATGTGGTATATGACCTGTTAACATTTAAAATGTATCACTCTTTGCCACAGTTCTGCATCTAGGAATCTATCCTTTCCAAAAGCAAAAGTGCAGAAATGTAGATACATAAGCACATTTATTAAGGAATTACTAAAAAGTGGAAACAGCTTAAATGTCCAGCACTAGTAAATTGGTTACTTAAATTATGGGAAATCAGTTCAGTAGGTTACTGTGCACTGTAAAGGAGGAGGTAGATCTCTATAGGCACAAAGACGTCTTGTAGTTCATTAGGAATGTAATTCTCATAACTAATATGATTGCATAGTTATAAATACATGATGTTTAAAAATTAAAAAGAATAAATATCAGATGATACTGTTTTTGTCCACAACACGAATAGGAACGATGAACACACAAATACACAGAAAGTCTGTCCCTGAGCTGCTCTGATGTCATTCCGTGAAGTTTAGTTTGTGCTGCCAGTTGTACATGGTTCACTTTAATCCCATGTGATACTGTCTCCTTGGGACACAGGAGGGAGTTAAGTATCCTTTGGCCACAACTTTAAGATGTCTTAGTGTCCACTGCTCTGCTTGCTTGAGCTGACCTATTTCATATTCCTTCCGGTTTGTATCTCAGTATCTTGTTTTCACTTTAAAATTAAATTATTTTTCTGTCAACCAAAGAAACCTAACCAATACAGAAATTGGTAGCATTGAGTGGGTTTCAGGCAAAAGATCCTCAGATAATGTGGATCATTAAAGTTTGGTTATTGGGTGAAATGGAACTAAGGATTGTAAGGCTCCTAGCTGTAATTTGTGCCACAAAAGTAGTATGCCTTGATAGGGACAGTAAAACAGCTAATCAACCGTGGTCTACATCGCTATTGCCTTAGAACTGAAGGGGTCAAGAACAGGCACTCTAAAGTATATGTATGGTCCTGTTCATAATGGATACTGTAAAGCAAGAGAAAGAATGAATGCTTAAATTGTTTGCTTTAAAGCATGGACTACCACACAACACATGGCCGTGATCTCTAAAACATCAAAGAAATGAGTCAGTGCCAGTGAAATTCACAATTTTGGCAGGTTTCTTAAGTAAAATATTTGCTGTTAATTAGGAGTGGTTGGTGACTTAGTTATTAGAATGAGGATTTATGGGAGAGTTTGGAGATTTTAAACTCTTAGCCCCTCAGAAAGCATACCAAATAATTCTTTGCCTGAGAGAGCTGTGGAGGAAGGTTAGCCAATTTCCTTTTTACCCCACTAATACCATATAGCTTCACTGATTCAAAGGAAGAAAAAAATATGATTCTTAAATTTTGCAGAGGTTATATGAGAGATTAGGGATGGGGTGATAGACTCCCATAAGTATTTATCAACATCTATACCAGAATGTAGAAAATGGCTGCTGAAGTGAGTGACCTCAGAAGTTGGAACAAAGTTTTGAATTAGGCTAAATTTATTTGTAGGTGTACACCTCAGGGATTACATACCTGATGTGCTAATTTGTGCAGTTTACTGCTTTTCTCGTAATTTTCTGGGTAATGGTACCAACTGAATCGGAAGGTGAACGCCACCTGGCCATTTTAAGCTTCACCTGCCACTCGGAGAGCAAATTGAAAAGTTACTGTGCAGCTGTTACTGGCAAGAAGATGGTTGGGGCATGTCCTTGTAGTAGCTGCCATGTCCGGGTCTGCTCTCCCATGTTCATAATTGTTGGTCGCTCTTTCTCCGTTTGGGCTACGCTTGCCTAGAGGTTTTTGTGCACGGAGGAGGTCTTCCCATCAGGAACAGAGAGTGTGTGCAGTGTGGGTCAAACGACTGCTGTCCTTTAATACTTCCATGCCGCCGGATGAGTAGGAAGGATCAAAGCCAGGGCGGTTGGTCCTGACAGGCGAGGATACGCGGGCCCTGGGAGTATGGTTGGGCCGCTTCCTTTAACTGTGATGTTCAACGGGAAACGGTAAATGGAAACGCAAGATATGCCATACTTCCCAGGCCACCGATGGTTTGGGTCAGGGTATCCCAGGCGCAGGCAAAGGCCAAGCCCGGGAAAAGGGTGTGTACATCGAGTGGGCGAGAGGTACAAACTCCAAGGCCGGTCCAGAAAACAGAGGGGTTCTATTCTCTACCCAGGCTTCCCTTTGCGCTGGTTCAAAACGCCCCCCAACAGCCTGTGCCATTTTATTAATTCAAGGACAGTCTTGGGTCTATTACCACAACGAGCGTTTACAACTTTATTCTTAGGGCATTTGCAGCAGGATGCTCGGTGCGCCGTCCGGTGAGTTTCCAAGTTTGTGAAGCACAATGCCCTCGCTTTAGGTGCAGAATTGACGAGCCCATACGGCCGCGCAGCCACCAGCCAAGATGCGGAAGGCCCAGGAACAGCCCGGGGTCCTCGTCGTCAGGGGGCCCCGGACCCCGCCACGGCGGCCCGGGGCGCCTGGCCCGGCAGCGCGGACGCGCCTCCGTGCGTGACGAGCGTGCAGCCGCGGCCCGTGACGGCGCGGAGGATCCTCAGGCAACGGCTCGGGGGCGAAGAGCCCCACAGGATGAACGCCCCCGCGTCTCGGTGATGCTACGGGGGAGGGGGTGCGCGGCACGTGGTTGAAAGGCCAGGTGGGGACCCGCCACTCGGGTACCACTACTTGCCCACCGGCCCCACCCCACCCCCGCCTGCGCGCTCTCCTCCCGGCGCAGATTCCCAGAAGCCCCTGGGGCGCGGCTCTGTCCCGGGACGGCCTGTATTTCCGCTCAGGTCTGGCCCCTCTGTCGACAGCTGCCCGGGCGGCTACGACCCGGAAGGACCGGGAGCGGCTGGACTGGGGCCCGCCGGCGCGTGTGGACTCGGGGCGGAGCCGAAAGGCGCGCCTAGGCCCCCGGCCAAGACTGCGGGTCCCAGAGGGCGTTGCGGCGGGCGGGCACGCCCACTTCCGGCCAGCCGGCCGCCCGGTTCCTGCGTGCTGGGCGGGGGCGGCCGCCGGGGCGGGGCGGGGCCGCCGGCGCCGGGCCTGCCGGGGGTCCGCGCGCCGCGGTGACATGCGGGGGGCGGCGAGTGCGAGCGGGAGCGCGGGGGCCTGCGGGCAGGGGTCCACGCCGCGGCGAGGCGCCCCCCGCACAAAGCCCGGGACGAGCCGGGACCGGACAGCGGGGACCCCGGCCCCTTTCGCCCGCCCTGCCCGGGGAAGGCCGCGCGCCAGGAACGGCCTCCCATCCAAGGGCCAGCGAGCATCGGTGACCGCGGGGCCTGCGAACAGAGGTGAGGGTGACAGGTGGCCGGGCAGGGGCGGGGAGACGGGGACGAATCCATCCCCTCGGGTGCGGGGGAAGGTGGGGTCTTGGGGTTGGGGGCCTCCCGGGGCCCGGGTGCTAGTGAATGGCGTCCACGGGCCCCGAGGGTTGTGGATCCAGGGACTCCACAGAGGTCGCGAAGCCCAGCCTGAGTCAGAGCATCAGTCAGCGGTTCAGGGTAGGACCTGACCCTCCTGGGGTCACCCACGCAGGGAGATCCCTGTTTCCAAGCCCCCAGAGAGCGGGAACCCCCTCCCGTCCCGCTGCAGCCCATGTCCCAGCTGCGCCTTTAAAAAGTGATCCCACCCTGCTCGCTCCAGCCTCTGATTCTGCACCTGCTGAAGCCCTTTCTGGTTTCTGGCTGTAGTCGAAGACTCGGCAGGAAGGGCTCGTTTCCAGGCTAGTGATTCAGGAGCTGGTGTAGACCCGGCCTGCAGCCACTCCACTCTCCTCCCCCAGCTCTGCCTTGCAGGGACGCCGCCCTTCGCCAGGAGCGGAGGTACAAGCTGGAGACTGCGGGGACGGGAGTGGGACCGAAAGCCGTGTCCCAGGTGAGCTGACATTTTCTCTCTTCCCTGAAATGCCTTCTTGCTTTCCAAGACTTAATGTTTATTCCCTTTTCAACGTTTTCAGTGTTAAGAGACCCGTCCTGGGAGCTGGTTCCCATGTCTCACATTCTGGTGGGCGGCGGGCCTGTGGGGATCGCTAGCCCTGGGTGCTTCACCCTCATCCCGCTCAGAGGTGATCCTCGGTGGGACCTCGGTTCGCCCCCTCCCTGTGCCCCTTTTCTCAGAGGGACTCTGACAGAGGTGAAGGGTGCCCCTCGGGGCAAACACCACACCCCACATGGTGCATGTGCCTAGTTGGTTTGATACCCGCTTTGCGCCAGCGCCTGGAGGAACAGATGGTTTCCGGCAGCCGGGTCCCTGCTCCCGGGAGCTCGCAGCTCCTTGGTGGAAAGTCATGGAAGCAAGCAAGGTTCTAGAGTTCAGGCGCCTGGACCCCGCGCTGTGGGTGGAATTGGCTTATAGCCTCTGTGGGGAAGGGGAGGGAGGCCGCAAGGAGGTGTTTTTGAGCCTTGTTTTGAAGGCAGGCAGAGGGGGCGTAGGGCAGTATCAGGGCAGTATCAGGCGACACCGAAAGGCTGTCTTTTCCCTCTTGACTGTGTGGCTTCTTGAAATGCTAATAAATTGTTTTGTTTGCGTCTGTCAGCTTGTCTCAGTAAATACACAGCTCACGAATACATGCACTGGGCCCCCCTGCCCCCCCAGATGCTTCTAAGCAGGTCACCGGTGATCACGTTACCAAGTGCAGGACTCGGTCCTTAGTCTGTCTTGACTCATGGGCATTTGAAACAGCTCTGGGCTTGAACAAACTCTCCGCGGTGGCAGACGTAAATGAGCTGCAGCTTCTCCCCTCTGTGCCCTAGAGCTAACGCAGCGCAGACAGTAGTCCACGAATGGCTGGGGTTGTGTTCCAATAAAACCATGTTTACAGAAGCAGCTGGCTGCCACCGTCTGACTTAGCCGTCGCCCAGCCGTGGGCTCTTCTCTCCCTCGGCTTCCAGGATGCACACTCACCTGGCTCCCCTCTCACCTTCCTGGCCTCTCAGGTTCTCCTGCAGCTGCAAGTTCCTCCTCATCTCCCTGACCTGCAGCTGTCGGTGTGTCTCGGGGCTCTGGTCCTGTCCCTCTGTACCCCTTCCCCTGGGAGCGCAGCCTGTTCTTGTCTGTGAAACGGAGCCCTGTGCTGGCTGCCCCCAGATTGATCTTCCCGGCCCAGCCTCCCCTCGGAGCTCCAGGCCTGTGTCCAGCTCAGCTCCTCCACTGCAGTGTCGACTAGGTAACCCACACCTCTCATCCAGACCCGAATTCCTGAGATGTCCCCCGAGACTGGCCCCCCCACAGTGTCTCTGTCTCAGACCACGCAGTTTCATGCTCTCAGTTACTGGGTCAGCAACCTTGGTGTCTGTCATCTGTGCCTCCTCTCTTTCTCTGCCCTCCTTTATTTGGTCTGCTTGCAAATCCTGTCAACACAGTTTTAAAATTGTACCACTACGCCCACCACTGCCTCCATCCTCATTATCCGCCTGTCTGGCCCTTGACTCTACTTCTGTGGCCTCCGGCTTCACCTGATGGTCGCTTCCCTCTGCAGCAGCCAGAGGGCTGTTCTCTTGGCCCCATCACAGCCCCTACTCAGAGCCCTCCCACCGTCCCGGCGTGAAGGCCGGATCCTCAGTGTGCGCCCACGGCCCCACGAGGCTGTGGGGTTTACTGCCGCACCCCCACCACACGCTTTGCTTTCCCAAAAGTTGCCTTCTGTGGTTCTGATCACCCTGTCTGCAGAGCTGCCCACCCAAATACCTCACATCTCTCTTTTCTGTGTTACTTTTAAAACTCTTAGCATGTTTCAACACAATGTATATTTAATTTATCTGGCTTTCTGCTGATTCCCTTACTACTAGGTACACTTGACTCAGGCAGGGATTTTGGACAGTTTTGCTCCAGGACTTGATACAGAAAATATTTGGTGGGTGGATGTGTGAATATAGTCTTAAAGTTCTCTGATAATCAATGTTTTGCTATTTAATATAGTATTATGACAATATTTTTATACCTGAAAATGTGCATTATTCCAGATTATTTCCTATGAATACATTCCCAGAAGTTTTTCTTACCTTGTTGATTAACATTTACCAAACTTAGATGAAATCAGAATACACTTAAAACCGTATTTCAATGGAACAACAATAGGGCCTCAAAAGCTAGAAGTCATGCTTTTAAAAAAAGTAAATGTCACCTACAAGATGATTATCAACTTTTCATTCATGTGCTTTAAAAATTAACTGAATTGAACTGAACCAAAACAACTCCTTAAAGAATTTTTTCCCATAAAATGCTTTACATTCACTTTTTCCTGTGAAATATTAGCTCCAACTATTTTTCTATAAGGGTAAAGTTGCTTGTTTGTTTGTTTTTGATGTCTTTAGCTGGTCTTTGTTAAGAGTTGGGACAGGAACTGTACCCGTGTGTGTTCTCTGTGAAATAGTGGCCTGTCGTGAAGCCGTTTACAAGTCTGCACATTCCCGTGAAGGCAGCGGGAACGGGAACAAGACCAGCACCTCTGGGAGCGGCCTGTGCCCTCTTGATGGTCCCTAACTGAGCCACGTAGCAGTTGGAGGAGGTTTTGCCTGAAGCCACACTATCTGGTGGCTCCCGCTTCGCTGTCAGGATGAATGGATATCCAGTGTTATTGCTGTGGTCAGAGTGGAACCTTCTAACTAAGGCCAGGTGTGGCGGCCACGCGTGTGGACAGTGGGGCCACAGGGCTGGGTTCAGACGCTGATGTTGGCATTTAATCGCTGTGCAGCCACGAGGCAACTTAAACGGCCCCATCTCCGTCATCGGTGGAGACAGGGATGGCGGTGCCCGCCTTGTGGTTCTCGTAAGGCTCTTCTAAGCTAGTAGGAGTGCCACCTGAAGGAAAGCGCCACACGGACTGAGGCTGAGTGGGTGTCCGCTGGCAGCGTCCTGTGCCACTGTGATTGTTCTAGAAACTTACAGCCCAGTCTTTGGGTGACAAGCATTAACAGAGCCAAAAATAGTGTTGGACAGAGTTGGCAGACTGGTCCGCTGGCCAGGTCTGGCCCACTACCTCTTTTTGTAAAGCTATTGAACTACAAATGGTTTTTACATTTTTCAGTGGTTAAAAAAAAAAAGTCAAAGAAGAACAGTGTTTTTTGACATGGAAATTATATTTCCTTTCAGTTTTGGTGTCCATTCAGTTGCCTTTCCAAGCACACTTTGTTTACACGCCCTCCGGGGCCACTGCTGGGCCCCAAGGGCAGAGGTGAGTGGCTGTGACAGAGTCTGTCTGGCTCACACAGCCTGAAATATTTACTCCCTGGCCCTTTACGGAAAGACTTGGCTGGCCCTGGTGCAGAGGCTGAGCATAGACTGTTCAGTCAGACTTTGTGGTTCACAGTCCCGGCTCTGCACAGGACTGTGATCTTGGCAAGTCAGAGCTGTTTCCTAATCTGCAAAATGGGACTAGCAGTGGGCTAACTATTGGGATTATTGTGAGGATGAAGCAAGTTTAAGTGCAAGTACGCAGAGCTGTGGGGTATATTGTCGGTGCTGTGAGTGTAACTGTTCTTACAGCAGAAGACATGTGCTGACTGAGTCCTTGAGGGTGCTGACACAGAACACCACAGACGGGGGCTTATAAACAACACATTTACCTCTCACGGTTCCAGAGCAGGGAAGCCCACGCTCATGGTGCCGGCAGATTCTGCGTGGGCGCTGGTGAGGGCCCGCTTCTCGGCTCATAGACGGCGCCTTCTCTCTGTGTCCTTGCACGGTGGCTGGGGTCCAGGAGCTCTCCGGGGCCACCTTTACGGGAGCACTAACCCCATTCAAGAGCGGTCACCCTCATGACCTAAGCACCTCCCAAGGGCCTTAGGATTTCCGCGTGTGAATGGGGGGGACACGGGCATGCAGCCCCCAGCACTGACCGAAGTCATTGACCCTGTACATGAAGGGCAGCCTGTATAAACCGAGGAAATGCCTTGGAGGGCACGCACATACTGCTCATGTTGGGTGTCTCTGGAAATGGGGTCAAGAGGCGGAGAAGGGACAGTTCCCATAAGAGAAAGAGAACTGAAAAGCCCAGGTGCCAAGTATAAGAAAATACTGGAACTTAGACTCCCTTCAGGAGCCCCAAATTAGTTTTCTTACCATTGACCAAGCAGTAGCAAATGCTAGAAGAAGGGGCCTTGTTTTCTCTTGCACCAACAGACTTACAGTTATTGTAAGATGCTATAAAGATGTTGTAAAGATTTTTTTAAAAGGTTATAATTAGTATACAATTTATATACTACATGTATGTAATGTGTTTCATAGTAAAGAAGGGTATCTAAAAAAAATGTGAAATACTTGACTATCTGAAAATAAGTGCAAAATGGGAGTGTGCCGTTAGAATTGTTAGACGGGAATCTGGAAACCCATCTGTCAGCATTGGGTCCGAAGAGAGCACCTCAGTCTTGAACCCAAAGGAGAGTATTTGCACTGAAATGGGTTTTTTGTTGTTTTTAAACCTCCTTATTGAGGTATGACTGACATGTAAAAAGCTGCACGTTTTTAATGTGTGGTGGTGAGTCTGGGAAGTCTGCACGCATGAAACCACCACCATCAAGGCCGTATTACCCACCACCTCCCGAAGTTCCCTTCTGTCCCCTTTGTCATTGTCATTTTTGGTGGTAAGAGGACTTAACCTAAGATCTACTCTCAGTAAAATATAAGAATTTACCAGTAGTGTTTGCTGTTGGCGCTGGACTTCACATCAAACGTCTAGAATCAGCCCGTGCAGCTGGGAGTACTGCCCTTTGACCAGCCCCTCCCAGACCCTCCCCAGCCCCGCAGCCACCACTCCCCTGTGCTCCTGAGTGTCACCAGCTCAGGGTCCACGTGTAAGCGAGATCACGCGGCGTTTGTCTGTCTGAGTCTGGCCTGTCTCTCTTCGCGTACGCGCGCGTTGAAGTGTTTGAGTCCCAGTTTTCTTGGGGATTCCGCTGCTCAGTCTTGCACAGTTTTCAGAATTTGAAAGCATTTAACAAGTTGCTGGTGCAAAATGCAGGTGAAGCAGAGATGCACAGGCACCACCTGAGGAGCCAGAGGAGCTGCCCCGCCCCTCGTTCCACGGGCAGAGCCCCTTCTGCTCTCAGGTCCGCGGGCTCCAACGTGCGAGCTGCTGGTGCCTGCTTGAGACTAGCTTGCTCAGGTTGGCACGAGTCGGCCTTCTGCACGAGGCTCCCTGAGCAGTTCTTGGCGGTGTCCTGAAAGTGTCACCAGGTGTTTTCCTTGGCATGGGGGGTAGGAGAGCCATGCATCAGGCTTCCCGTCTCCATACAGATCAAGAAATCACTGGCAGAACCCTTTGACTTGTGTTTACCTAATTCGGTTAAAAATGTCTTCAAAGTTGATGTGGGTTAAATAACATTGATGGCATTTATTCAGACACCAAACATCCAAGGGCTGTTTGTTTCTGGCAGATTGTGTGAACCCTTAAACTGGAGGGTTCAGCTGTGGGTCAGGTCCCCAGAGCTGACATCCCATCACTGCTTCGTGATGCCCCTAGTTCAGAGCACTGCGTATATGCTGCCGTGTTTAATCCTCTCCGCCCAACAGGACGCTTCTGTCGGCTTGCCCACTTTATAAGTGGGGAGCTGAGACAGAGGGTTTAGGGGTACAGAGTTGTTAAGTGAAGGGGACTGACTTTAGCCTTTGGGGTGATTGCACTGTTTTGCTGTTGTCTTGAGAATGTACTTTGAAAATCCCAGTCATTTAAATCTACCTTCTGTTAGCCGGATTCCTGGAGTCGGAGTTTGAACTGGGTAGATGTCTGAGATACATTGGAATGCATGAGACTCGTCCGCCGAAATCCTAAAAGTGCCGATAACAGTCGCCGGTGGTAGGCGAGAGGCGCACCTGCCGTCATACGCCCACCGCATGTCCTAGGTGCCTCCCAGCCGCTCAGGGGCCTTTTGTTAACTAAAAGCTCTATGTTGCTTTTCATTCTTATTGTACAGTCATCTTTATTTCAGGAAAAAAGAATTTTCTTAGTTCTTTTTTAAAAAGTGAACGCTCACCATCTAGTGAGCACTGCAAGTAAAATGGAAACACTCAAAACCCAGTTTGGGGTGGAGTCCTGTTTGTTCCCTGCCCTTGCCTGGCCCAGGCCACCCCGTTGTCCTCACCATGGAACGTGCTCTGGGACCTGCCATTCAGGCAACAGCGTAGCCCCGGTGCTCACGGTCCTTGGCGGATGTGTACCTGCCTCCTTCCACCTGCAGCAGGACCGCCAGTTCGCAGGGCAAGAGCCGCCTCTGTACTCGTCTCGCTTCTAGAACTTATCGTGTAACGAGACAAGCTCTCCGCTAATTCACTAGGTTTCCACATCCCCGGATAGTATTCCCAATATCTGTGGTTCTTACCCAAAAAGAGGGGAAGGTGATCCCTAGGCCCCTGTGTTAGTCTGCGCGGGCTGCCACAGCAAAATCACACGCACTGGGTGGCCCACACCGTAGACATTCCTGTCTCCAGTCCTGGAGTCTGGAAAGCCCAGGGCAGGGTACGGGCAGGGTGGGCTTCTCCGAACCCCCCTCCTTGGCTTGCAGGTGGCCACCCCGCTGTCCTCACATGGGCTCTCCTCTGTGCACACACATCCCGGGTCCCTACCTCTTCTCAGGACACCAGTCAGATTGCATCAGTGACTTCATTCCACCATATGACTTCATTTACCTTTTAATTATGCCTTTGAAGGCCCTCTCTCCAAATAGGGCCACATTCCGAGGTTCTGGGATTTAGGACTTGAACACATAAATCTGGGGGCTGCAGTTGAGCCCATGACGACCCCCAGGGGCATGGGGCGTGAATCCTGGTCGAGCAGGAACATGGTTGTGTCCTTGCAGAGCCTGGTGACGTTCGGGGATGTGGCCGTGGAGTTCTCCCCGGAGGAGTGGCAGTGGCTGAGCCCTGCACAGCGGGCTCTGCACGGGAGCGTGATGCTGGAGACCTACAGGAGCCTGGCCTCGCTGGGTGAGGGCCTTCCCCGCCCCCCACCCCCCACCTCATCTCTCCGAAGCCCTCCACCCGGTCAGCCCCGTGCCCTGCACTGTCCCACTTCCCTCCAGCCAAGGCTTATTTAGGACTCTGCACTTATAAGCCTGACATGATCTCCTCTTTGGAACAGAAGAAGGAGCCCTGGACAGTGACGAGGAAGCTGACAAGAGGCCAGTGCCCAGGTGAACCGGGGCCCACAGATGGGGTGAAGCCCCTGCCAGGCACAGCCCTGCCCTCAGGCATGCAGGGTTGTCAGCAGACTCCCGGAGCCTCTGCGCCTGGAGCGGAAACGGCCTCTCTGGCACGCGCCGCCCGAGTTCTCAGGCCCCGTCTCCCCTCTCTCCACGCCTCTCCTCTGCTCTGGGCCCCACTTCTTCCCAGCTCCTTCCCAGCTCCTTTGTCATTGACACTTACATAGTCATCTCTGCTCTTTAAAAAATCTTTGCCTGATTCTATGTTGTTTTTACTGCCTCATTTCTGTCTGATAAATGAGTGTTTCATTTATGGGGTTCTCTTACTGAGAGTCAGCTTTGAGAGAGGCCCTCAGGCCCTGGCTGGTGGGGGGAGCTATGCTGCTAAAGAATTAACTGTCTCACGGGGTTATGTTCATGTCGTACATAACTTAGAGCACGTGGAAACTGCTGTCCTCTGTTGGGTAAGTGGAGGTAGGGGCTTGGGAGGAAGAAGGAAGATCACTCCCAGTTTCAAGCTCTTTCGGAAACATTTGAATTAGGAAAAAGAGATTGGTGGGTGAGAGGTGAGTGGGTTGGGCCGTGCGTGGCCTTCCCTGTGTGCACAGGCGGCAGGCAGTTGGGTGATCGGCTCTCAGAGGAGAGCCCTGGTTCACATTTAATGGAATATTCTTACAGATACTGTGGTGGTATTTATAGCATGTGGGAATACGGAGATTTCAACCACATCATTATTTCTGCAACAACAAATTAATCAAGTAAGACAAGGACTCGGGGGTTGGGTCTGGAGGTTCCTGTGGGAGGGGTGGCAGCAGTTTCTGAAGGACTGAGACCCTCGTAAGACCTCTTATGCTCAAATCATACTTGAAAGGAAAGGTTTTTCTTGATGGGGCAGGACAGGTTGCTCAGGTACAAGCTGCGGCGGCTCACGTGGATCGCCACGCGGGCAAGAGAACTAGGAGGGCGTTTTGTGGACATTCCCCACTTGGCATCCTGCTAAGTCACACCCTCCGAACCGGTTTCATGCAGCAGAACGGGTTTTCTCCTTCTCTCAACCCTTCATCTCTTGCTGAGGTTCTAGCTGATCATGAAGACTTGTACTTTTAAGGCCGGGGTCTGAACTGCTGCTAGTTGACTCTGCAGTAAAACAGGAGGCATTGTTAAAAAAAAAATAGAGCTAGAGAAGAAACTTTTTTCAAGATAAAGTGTCCAAGTGGTTTTATTTAGTGCTGAAATAAGGACCATACGGATGTTTTCTCCTGTGGCCTTTCCTCCCCCTTTGTCCGTATTGGCCGCATTCGTGTTAGACTCGAGGGTTTGTGCGCGGCCGTGTCCCTGGCTCTGCACCCGCTCCTCCCGGACCAGAAGTGTGGGGATCGTGCAGGTGAGAAAGCCACACTGTGTCCGTTAGAACTCAACGACACACACCAGGGGACGGAAGGTTGGTTAGTCATATAAGAAAAAGCTTTCAAAACATGCTTTTTTGTGGATTTTAATTCATTTGGTTACATTTTGGAAGTTTTCTTCATACTAATACATAGTAAAAGAGAAATTCATTTTTTCAATATCTTTCAGACTTGAAGGCTGCACCGGAGAGCAAGGCGTTGCCTGCACAGGCCTTGTGTGAGGAGAAGTCAGGGCGGGCGGTGACGGCGAGGCTCCCGTGCCCCACGTTAGGGGGATTCGATGCTCTGTTTGAGAGGCAGCAGGTAAGTCGGGAGGAAGCGTTAGTCCAGACAGCATCCTTCCTAGAGAAACCCTTCGCGAGGAAGGAGACCGTGACTGCAGTAAGCATGGGGGAAGTTCTGTGTGAATACACTGCTGGTTGTAGACGGTTTCCTGCAGAACAAAGACCACACAGTCTTGATGCGCACAAGAAATGCAGGGAAGTTCGGTTCTGAATCATAAACACGTCTGCTTCATCAGAAACATTTGGCATGTGATGACCGTGTGAAAACTTTGAGCATGATCTCAGCCCCGTTTTCATCAAAGATGTTGTATACGAAGAACCCTGCAGGCTTGTTGCACACTGTGTGTTGAAGGTGGGGGACCCTTCGGTCAGCATTAGGAAATTGACACTGTGTAAGTTCATTCCCCCTTACAAAATTACCACTTCTCCACAGGAGAAACAGATTCTCTTATTTCTCTCTCTTTTCCCAAACGTGTACTGTGTAACAGGCCTGAGCATTATGCCATGCGGATCACTCAGCACCGAAGTGAGAATTCCCAGCACATCTTCGCAGTGTGTAGACACAGCCCCCCACCCCCGGTGCGTTGCGGGTTCACCAGCATGATTTGATCCAGGCATGTGTTTGTGCCGTTTCAGGGCTTGGCGACCACCGCGAACACGGCCCCGGGCTTCCCTCGGCCCCCGGGCCCCGGGGGGAGGAGGCTGTGGGAGAGCCCTGGCGGCCCGGCTGCGGCAGGTGAGCACGCCCTCCCCACATCGGAGCCTGTCTGCAGGGCCGCCCTTTTCCCTCCTCAATTTGAACCATGGGTGGGGAGGGCCCCCTGAAACTTCGGGCTGAATCTGTGTGGCGGTTCCCAAGGTAAGAATCCGACACTCGGAGGGCCGGCAGTCGGCACCTTCCTGCGGCTGGGCATCACGGACGCCGTTCAGATGCTGCCCGCTTTCCTTCTGCCTCTTCGGATCATACGCTTTTCTATTGAAACCAGGGGCCTCGTTCTCAATGTAAGGATGTCAAGCATATGACCAAACCCCACGCCTCTCCTGCGTGCAGGATGTTGTTTCTAAGCCAGGTTTGGTGTCTGTACGGAGTGAGGCAGGGAGCCCTGGGGGGTGGGGAGAGGCCGGCGGCTGGCAGACTGTAGCTTCTGCCCAGGAGGCTGAGTCCTCACAAAACCACCGGGTCCTCCAGATCTAGAGCAAACCAAGCTCTGGGATTTCAAGTTACTCTCTTTCGTCCTCTGCTGCCCTCTCCCGAGTGATAAGTCATCCCCTGAGCTGCTTCTCCTCTTCTGAGCCACCCAGACTGCTGCTCAGTTCCTTCAGTGACCTTGTCCTGACCCCGATGTACTTGGAGGGGTCTCCCAGAGGCTTACTGTCCTGCGATCACATGGCCCACTCACTGCGTCACACACCTGTTCCTGTAAGAACCACGCATTGAAAATTATTTGCGGGAGCCACTCTGCTTGCCGTTAGCAGGCAACTGGAGAAAATGAATTTACACATATGTTGTCATTGTCAATAATTACTCTAATGGAGGGCATAAGACACATTCATGGATGACTTGCATGAAATAGAGTTTGCAAAATTTCTAGTGGTGTAACCCCGGTGACAGGCTTCCCAGGAGCTTCCTGTTTCGGTGGCACAGGGTGGCACAAGTCAGACTGCAGGAAGATGTAAGTGGAGGTGTCTTCCTCTTTTGATACATGAGGAAAGGAAAAGAAACTTCTTAAGAAAGCAATAGTTTGTAGAAAATGTAACCTTACCCCATTTGGGAAAATAATAGAAAATCATGACCGTAATTACAATATGGTAACAAGGCACCTTCAGACCTCTTCCCGGCATGATGAACACATTTTCCAGGTAGTAGGAATGATCGTTCAGTCATGCGTGCAGTTGTTTTTCATCTGCTAAGTTCTGAAAGCTTTGTTTGCTTTTGGCAATTCTAGGAATGACTAGATGATTAGATGTATTATATATTTTGATGAAAATGTTTATTGGTATGAAGGATTGTAGCCTGAAGTTATTTTTCTTAATTGTCAAAGAGGTTGAATACTTTCCCTACTTTTGGTTATTCTCTTTATCTTTTTGCAAGATGTCCCTCATTTATAACATTTCTCTATTCATGTCTTAATGTGTTCTTAACAATCTCAGTGATTTTTCAATATAAACATACTGATTCTTTGATGTATTGTCTTACACAATTTTTTCACATGTGGTTTTAAATTTGGTGCTTTAAAATTGTGATATGTATGATTTAAAAAAGTCTAACATATCATTTATTTTATGAGTTCTATTTGTGGCCTTAGAAACTTGATACATACAGTTCACTTCATTTTTTCAATGGCAGTCTAGTACGGACATTCCGTAAGTTGCTCAACTGAATTACTGTTGAGGACATTCGAACATTTAGGTCTTTTCCAGTATTTACCTAAAATAAATAATGGTTTGTACATATCTCTTTGCATGATCAAAGTATACTTTTTTTTTTAAGTTTTATGGGTATAGTGCTATGCCTACTTCCCCAATGGTATTTTGTATTTTTTTAAATTATTGCTAAGCTGTTGGGTGAAAACTGATATTTTTTTTTGCTCATCATTACCCTAGCTGCTTGTAATGCTGAGAATATATGCAGTTTAAATCCCTTTACATTCACATTCTGTTGATGATGCCTTTCTGTGGGGTCATATTTCCTTCCCTTTATATGACATGAGTATAAATCCTTTTTATAAATGTGATATATTTTGATCCCAGTTTGTGTGGTCTGTGAGTTTGCACATGATGTTTCTCTATATACAGTAGATTAAGTTGGGTGGTGTCTTCATTTACAGAGGCATTCACTCTGCTGACTTTTAGAGGCATTCACTTTGTTTCACTCATACTTTTTTTCTATTATTAATAGATGTATTATTCCCATTTGAACTACATAACAAATTTGTTTGGCCTTACTTCTGTAACAATTTAGTTTGTTTTGCTCTCTTCCTATCCATGAACACAGAATGTCTTTCCATTTATTTAGGTCCTCACTGCACTCAGCAGTGTTTTGTACTTTGTAGCATAAGACCTTGCACCTCCTTGGGCAAATTTATTCCTAAATAACTTGTTCTTCCAATGTCATTTTTCATGGAATTGTTTCCATAATTTCCTTTTCAGATTGTTGATTCCTAGCGCATAGAAATACAACCAATTTTTGTGTGTTGATCTTGTATCCCACAATTTTGATGAATTGATTAATTCTAATCCTTGCGGATGTTTTAGGGTTTTTCTACATATGGGATCATGTCATCTGCAAATATAGCTTCTCTCTAATTTGAGTGACTTTTACTTCTACTTCTAACTGCTCTGGCTAGAACTTCTAGGACAGCATTAAATAGAAGTGAAAGCAGCCATCCCTGACTTTTTACTGATCTGAGAGGGAAAGCTCTCACTGTTTACATGTCCTTAGACAAAGGCTTTATTTTCCTTTTTGAAACCAACATTTAACTCTGTCTGAATCATCTCCCCAATCCCACTGTCATTTACATATATTTACTGCATTTTAACTGTACACACACAGATTTTTGGTCCATGCTAAGTAATCCAGCAAAAGGATTTCAGAAATATTCAGTCCTCCTTGTAAGCCCAGAGTCTGAGATCAGACATATACTTGTTCAGTAGTGTACATATATAATTAAATACAATATTAGTACTCACCATCTGTATGCAAACAGTCTCCTCAAAATGAGAAATTAAATTGCAAGGCCCTACCCACTAATAAGTGGCCAAAGAAGTGAGGATTTTGTCCGTCTTGTGGAGGCAAGCAGGTGAATGTAAACATGACTTTATGTGGCCAGTGAGTTTCAGCTATCAATTGCAATGTAGGTTTTGAAATTAAATAAGATATGGTTAACAGAAACACCATCTTCTGGTTGTAGGGGAATGACCAGGCTTTCAGGTAATCCTGATGAATGCTCCAGAATGCATTGTCTTCGTGCTTTGGCAAACTTTTTGGAACAACTTTTGTGATGTGATGACTGCTCTGACATTGGAGCAGGACACATGGTGCGAGAGAGGTTGAAGGCAATGACTGTCATGGCCTATATTTTTAGGTGGTGTGATTGCAGAACTATTTTCCTTACTCTTCAACATGGAACTGATTCCACATACATTTAATAATTTTTTTCCTGCTCACATCTGTTAGGTTCCTGTATGAATTCACTCTGGGGTCTTCTCACATATATTATAGACTGCTTGTCTACATGTTTTAGAGGTGCATAATTTTATGTGGTTTAATTAGGTCTTAATTCACCGATTAGTGAATTCATTCACATTTTCTTTTTAGCAGATTCCGTTTTTCCTACCATGATAAAGGAAATGTTGTTTTTATATCTTTCAGGTCAACAATCTACATATGAGACCCAGGAATTATTTCCAAAACAGGATTCATTTGCTTCAAATATTAACTTGGAGTGTTCTGTTTTCAGAGAAAACTGGGATTCTGAGTGTGTGTTTGAAAGGAAGCTGGTAAGTCAGGAAACACAATTCAGGCAACAAACAGTCATTCATAACAAAACCCTCTCTAAGGAAAGAGAGCATATATATAAAAAATCTGGAAGATGGTTCCATTTGGACATTTCAGAAGAGAGTGTTCATAATCATGACTCAGTTAAGACAAGTTTCCCCAAAAATCCATTGGTAATAAAACATACAGGAATCTATGTAGGAAAAAAACTTTTCAAATGTAATGAATGTAAGAAAACCTTCACCCAGAGCTCATCCCTTACCGTTCATCAGAGAATTCATACTGGAGAGAAGCCCTACAAATGTAACGAATGTGGAAAGGCTTTCAGTGATGGTTCATCATTTGCTCGGCATCAAAGATGTCACACTGGCAAGAAACCCTATGAATGTACTGAATGTGGGAAAGCCTTCATACAGAACACATCTCTTATTCGTCACTGGCGATATTATCACACTGGGGAGAAACCCTTTGATTGCATTGATTGTGGGAAAGCCTTCAGTGATCATATAGGACTTAATCAACATAGGAGAATTCATACCGGAGAGAAACCCTACAAATGTGATGTATGTGACAAATCCTTTAGGTATGGCTCATCCCTCACTGTACATCAAAGGATTCATACTGGAGAAAAACCATATGAATGTGATGTTTGTAGAAAAGCCTTCAGCCATCATGCATCACTTACTCAACATCAAAGAGTACATTCTGGAGAAAAGCCATTTAAATGTAAAGAATGTGGGAAAGCTTTTCGGCAGAATATACACCTTGCTAGTCATTTGAGAATCCATACGGGAGAGAAACCCTTTGAATGTGGGGAATGTGGTAAGTCCTTCAGCATCAGTTCACAGCTGGCCACTCATCAGAGAATTCATACTGGAGAGAAGCCCTACGAATGTAAGGTTTGTAGCAAAGCCTTCACCCAGAAGGCTCACCTTGCACAGCATCAGAAAACTCATACAGGAGAAAAACCGTATGAGTGTAAGGAATGTGGTAAAGCCTTCAGCCAAACCACACACCTTATTCAACATCAGAGAGTTCATACTGGGGAGAAACCCTATAAATGTATCGAATGCGGGAAGGCCTTTGGTGATAACTCATCCTGTACTCAACATCAGAGGCTTCACACTGGCCAAAGACCCTACGAATGTATTGAATGTGGGAAGGCATTCAAAACAAAATCCTCCCTTATTTGTCATCGCAGAAGTCATACCGGAGAGAAGCCTTATGAATGTAGCGTGTGTGGCAAAGCCTTCAGCCATCGTCAGTCTCTGAGTGTACATCAGAGAATTCATTCTGGAAAGAAACCCTATGAATGCAAGGAGTGTAGGAAAAGCTTCATCCAAATTGGACACCTCAATCAACATAAAAGGGTCCATACTGGAGAGAGACACTATAACTATAAAAAAAGCAGAAAAGTCTTCAGACAGACAACACACTTTGCTCAGAGAATTCATACTGGAGAGTCATCAGCCCGCCCTTGTTTACCATCTACATCAAGTCCTGTGGGTCTGTTTCCCAAATTTCTCTGGAATCTGTCCTCACTCCCTTCACCATAGTCTCAACATCATTATTTCAGCTAGTCTATTAGTTGAAAAACTGGTCTCTCAGTTCTTTTTGTTTTGAGTGTTGTTTTTATGCATTACAAGTTCTTCACATTGGGGTCAGATTGATTTTTTTTTTAAGTTTAAGTGTAATTCATTTGTTTCTTGTGTGAAACCTTGTGTTGCAGTCTCTTAAACAGGTGAACAGATAAGATGTGCTTAGCACAATGCCTGGTCCAGACTAAGTATTGGTTAATTTCAGCTCTTTTAAAAACATTTTTTGGGAACACTGAAGTTAACATAGCCAGCTCTGAATAAAAATGATGCATACAGTGAGGTTGAGAGAAACCAGTTTACATCAGGAACAAAAGTTTCAAAGTAGACAGGTTTAGCCAACGTTGGTTTAAAACTTGATTCCGTGGCAGTGTGGCTCTCCATCTCATCTGCGTATGTAAGGTGATAAGACCTTGTTGGTGAGAAAATTCACCTTTCCTGTACACCTGACAGTCTTAGAAACTGTAGAGAAAAATGGGTGAGTAGGTTGCCTGCAACAAAAGAACCGAAACAATCAGAAAAATGCAAGATGTATATGCATAAAGTCACAACTACTGACATGCTACTTAAGAATTGAAAAGTGTGGCAAGATTTGCTATTTATTGTTACCTGAACTTTTGAATACTGTTAACCTTTCAAGGACAGTTCACCTTAAGGTAAGTTGATCTAGAGTAGTTGTCAGCAAATTGTAACTTGTAGCCAAAGTCTCACTGTGTTTTGTATGGCCCATGATGTCAATTTTTACAAAAATTTTAAATGATTGAACAGGTGAATAGAATTATTTTATGACAACATGAAATTATATTAAATTTGCATCCAAAGAAAGTTTTATTGGTTCACAGCCACACTCATTTGCAGATTGCCTATAGCTGCTTTCATGCTACAATGGCAGTTTAGTAGGCGCAACAGCGGCAGTGTGGCCTATACAACCAAATATGTACTATCTACACTTTTACAGAAACAGTTTGCCAATCCCCGCTTTAGTATAGAGAAGATGCAGAGTTCTGATTATTCCTATGAAGGTAATACAACTCAGATCAAAAACAAAAACTATAAAGCAGTTTCTGAATAGAGGAAAATTATTGAATTGTATTAAACAATAGGAAATGTCAATAAAAGGAACATATTTTTCCAGATGTATGCAGTGCTCTGAAAATGTTTGTAAGTTGTCATCACAATGAAGTCCCTGTAGAATATGTTTACTTACAGTTTTTGTTGAAACAACATAAGGAAAAATAATTTGGCCATCACAGCAGGACGTTTTTGGACGAGGGCATGTTGAAGTTTCTTTGCATTTGAGATGTGGTATGTTCGATTTGGTGATAAGGTTGGGTTTTCATTATTGGGGAAATGATGTTTTGATAATTGGTTATCCACTTTCAAAAAAAAACATTATAATACAATTGTATTTTAACTTCTCCGAAATAATAGGTAAGAGGCAAACATGGAAAAATGGAAGGCTTTACTGAGTAGGATGTGGAGTCCGGAAGATGTTAGTAAGGCAGTAAGTTAGCCTGCACAAAGATGTAAAACTTCAGCGTGGTGAGAGGCACTGAAAAGATGTAGAAGACAATTGACAGAAAATATATATACAGCTTATATGAAAGAGTATGTCATTTAGGAACAAAGTGCATTGTGCACACACCAGCGCATACCAATGGGTGTGTCACAGTTGAAGAGTTTAAATGAATAAATAATTTGTGAAGTTCTTAACCTCACTAACCAGAAAATCAAAAATTAATTTTCTTGGCTCTCAGATTAAAATCTAAGATTTGGATAAAATCCAGTATTGATATCAGTGTGGGAAAACAGGTAGTTGTTCACTAGCAATGTAAATGTGACTACTGCCCTTTGGGTGGCAGTACGCCCTGACCTGTCAGCATTATAAATGTATCTTCCTTTCAAAAGAGTAGTTCTAGCTCTGGGAATTTTATCCCTTTGGAATGAATAGGTAGATGTAAATAATGTTTATTGCAGAATTGTTTTAGTTATGACAAATAGAATTTCACTGTTCTGCCAAGCAGATGGATTCAATTCTGCTTATTCAATCCTGTATGGTCCAGTTACTAGAGAGAGGTTAAGCTGTATGTATGCTTCTATGGAGAGTTGCTCGTCCACAATATGTTAAAATACATGATTTGCAGAAGCTTATGTATAAAATGATCTTAAAGTCATAAAAGTCAAAATTAATATTGAATATATGTGTATATATTTGCGTCTGAGTATATAAGTATATGTTTTTTTCAGTATGTATGTTGAAATCAGTTTTTGTCTTTAGCACAAACACTTGTCCTAACTCTGCTGGCACTTTCCCTTTCTTCATTCCGTATAATTTTGGCGAGCTGCTGGTTATACATGGCTACAGTTAAGCCAATCAGATTTGTCATTCTTTGTCCTTTCATTGTAGACACAGGGACAGAAGCAAAGCCAATATCCAGCTTTAAGTGAGTGTTAAGCTTTATGTTTAAGTGTTAAGGCTGATGTTTTCTCTCAGTCAGCATTCATTTTAATTGGTTAGGGCCCTTGCCAGGTAAGTGTGGAACACCACTCCTGGACTGGCAATGGCTGTAGTCAAGTCAGTCCTTTGGCTGCAACCTGAAGATTTCTGCATCTCTGCCTATCACTCTAATCCATTAAAGTCATTCCTGTTTCTTACGTCCTAGTTTCGTTTAGTTCTTTGCATTTGTGAAGTACTCTTACAATCTTTAACTTCAAATTTCAAGTTAATCATCCCTTTGTTTTTGACTGAAGAAAGCTCTGGCCCCTATAGAAACTGATGCTGGAGAATGACTGTGAGGCCGTGGTTGTGTGATAAGGGTTGGTTACCGAATGAGACTGAAAGAGAAACTTGCAATCCTATGTTGTATTAGGAAAGGATATTCATGATCTGGCAGGATCCTAAGTCCATTGTGCAGGAGGGGCTGCATAGCTTTCAATAAAAACTAATGGAGTGCTGCTTCCGAAAGCATATGCGTGCACTGGGGGTCCTCTTGTATCAGCTCTGCCCTTGGGGCTGCAGTGGGGAAAGCCAGATGCAACCGTAGATCCAGTCGGTCGCCGAGCGATGGTGAGAGCTGGACTCCTAGCCTTGCCGCTTCTCTTTAGTGAAATTTAAATATTGGAGAAGATTTCAATCCATGTTATTGGGATGGGGCTGTCATGAAGGATTCAAGCATCTTAGAAATAGGAAGAAACCTAAAAACTTAACATCTTAGGAAACCTCCCTGCTAATTCTCCTTGCCATAACTCTCTTGTGATAGAAAACTCTTACTTGAAAATTGAATCTGCTCTTCTAGTCCCACCGTGATTTCTTGGTGACCCAAATCTGAATTTAATGTGACCTGTAGTGTGACATGCAGAAAGATAGGGATCAATCTCATTTAGAAATATTTAATACCCTTTACTAAGTATACCATAAAAAATCTGGGGAACATTTTTGGAAATCTATTTCAAGGGCTAGAAATTACTTTGCGTAATACATAAGGTCTTGAAGGAATTCAGGAGTTTGTAATGCTGAACTGGGTCATTCATGTCTGTCCTCCTGACTCGTCTTTTCCTTTGTCGGGAAGCCTTTCCTTGTAGCTTTTCCATGTTCCTTGACACCAGCATCTTGAAATTTTCCTTACGTCCCTTCCTTTAAGTATGGGGACTGCTCATGACAGTGCTTGCGTGAGGAAGGTGTCTTCTCTGGTGAATTGCAGCATGCCATGCATAGTAGCTGAACTCGAGGGCAGTGGTTAGCCGTGAGAAGAGACTTAACTGGTCACAATAAACCTCAAAACTCCAAGAATGTTCCGATATCTGACATTTCCACTGTATTTAATAATTGATCCCCAGGATTGAAACTGCACGAAGGTTTTAATTAAAAACACTCCATCGCATGACCTTCAAGTCCACATTGACTTGAGTCAATAGAAAGGAGACTGACTACTCTTGAGTGACTGGAACTAAGATCACTATGAATGTGTCCACTGAGTTCCCAAGAGACTGCACTTCCACAGAGTGACGGTTTCTGAGGGAGTTTGTGTCTAGTGTAGCTTACAGCAGGTCCAGTGACCACAAATCCATACTCGCTATTTTCCAAGGGTCCTGGTATGTATCCGTCAATGACATCTATGATGTGACTAGATGATTGCCGGACCTCGTGCTTCCTTTTCTGTCATCTGGAATCGATTCTGGAATGTGACTGCCCAGGCACGCCCTACATTACTTGGCCTTATTGCTTCCAGTTCTGGCTATTCTAATGTATGTCACTTGGGGCTTGGTTATTAAGAGGATGTACTGTCCAGCTGGGAGAAGAATCTTAATCATATGGAATGGCAGGACTGCAAGATGGAAGAACTCTTGGCCCTTAAAGTACTATTTGTAGGAAGCCCATCAGTCACCCAAAAACGCCACCAATGAATTATGTGAATGCAAAATAAACATGTGTTAAGGTAATTACACTTGGATTTTAATCATGATAGCAGCTACTGTAATTCTAATTAATACGGCATCTTTGGCTACTGATAGCATCCCTATTTTAAATGACTGAATCAGAGTAAGAGCTGTGGTGGTATGTTAGTTAGCTATTGTGTAAGTCAAAGCCCTAAAGCTTAGTGGCATAAAACAAATACACATTTATTATCTCATAATTTCTTACTAAATTCTTCTGGGTAAGGAATCAAGGCATGGCCTCTGGCTCCCAGGGCCTCTCACAAGGCTGCTGTAACATTGCTGGCCAGCTCCGCAGTCATCTGAAGCCTTTATTGAAGGAGAATCACCTTCCAAACTCATTTAAACTTTGGTCTCAGGTCCCTGCTGGCTGTGGCTGCACAGAGCTATTCCTTTACATGCGTGCGGCCCACAGCATGGCAGGTGGCTTCCTTGAACGTGAGCGCGCAAGGGAAGACACCCAAGAGGGGAGCTGAGTCTCTTCATAGCTAACGTTACAAGTGACAATCCTCATTGTGTTTGATTGATCAGAAGTGGTTCACTAGGTCCGGCTCACTTCCAAGAGGAAAGAATTAAAAGATGGTATAAATAACAGGAGGCAGGATCACTGGGAGCCCCCTTAATGGTTGCCCACCACCATCTCCCCTCTGGCCCTCAGTGACACATGTATCTTCCACATACAAAGCACACACCTACTTCCAAGGCCCTCTCAAAGTCTGGTCTCATTACAGCATAAGCTCCTCAAAGTCAAGAATCTTGTCATGTAAATCAGGTCCAGGTGCTGATGAGGCTCACAAGGTGTAGTTTCTTAAATCCAGTTCCTCTTGATGTGTAGACTTTTGGAAAAAATGAAGACATTATCGGCTTCCACTGCCACAACAGTGAAGTCGCTAGTGCATAACAGTTCTGAAATATGGCCAGAAAAATTACTTGATTTGGCCATAAGTCCTGGGACTAATTCTCCACCCTCTTGACTCTTCATTCTTCCATGTGTTTGCTCAATAGTTTTCTAATCTTTCTGGCATTCAAATTTTGGGAATCCAGTAGTTTCTTCATTTTGTACTGTCTTCCTTTCACTCCAATTGGCAGGGTTGCTACTAAGCCAATTCTCTTGAAAACTTGGGAGTTTGTTTAAATTTCACTGGGGTTCCTTCAACTGGACAAAAACCACTGTCATGAATGTTTTGAGAGGCCCTATCACTTAGAGTATCTGTAAGGGTTCCCCCTAATCTCTTTACAGAGCCTTTGTGTGATTAAATAGTATTCTGGGATACCAGCTTTGATCTTTCTGGCATTCTAACAAAATATTTTGCAGTCATACCTTTAGTTTTGTTCTCTAGACCCATTTCTAGGAGTACCCAGATTTTATCTTTGGCTGGAGGCTATTTCTTGATTTTAGCATCATCTGTCATCTACAAAGGCTGTGGGCTTTCAAAACCATCAAATCCTGGCTCCTTGTTAGCAGTCTTTCTCCAAATTTATATCTCTTCTTTTGCATCTATAAACAGCAAGAGAAAAACAGGCAGCATGTTCACACATTGATGAAAGTTCTTGGCTAGATCACCCAGTTCTACTACCCACACTAATTGCATATAATAGGGTTGTTATAGTTTCTGTCACCACATAAGAATCCCCTGCCTTCCAGTTTCTAGTACTTTTCTAACTTCTTTAAGCCTTCACCAGCACTTAATATCCAGAATTTCTGGCTGTATGCAAGTATTGGACAAACACCAAGCATCCCAGCTAAAGCTGAAAAGAAGTGAATAAAGGCTTCAGCTGCTATCTCAGGGGACACAGTTTGGAGATTGAGTTCAACCAAGTGAACTGCCTACTGAAATAAAAGTACTCTTCACAGGAACCTAACAGTCTCTCTATACTGTATTTACTGTTCATGATATCTAGGATGCAAACAGTTAGATATATTTTAAAAACAAGAGGACATAATCCATATTCAAGAGAAAGCAACTGAGATCAGTCCTGAGATAACCCAGATATCGGGGTTAAGAAAGAATGTTAAAGCTTAAAGCTGCTATTACAATTATTAAGGATATAAAAGAAAGTGTGGGACTAATGAATGAGCAGATGAGAATTTCAGCAAATGAATAAAAGCAATTTGGAAATGGGATTTCTAAAAATGGGAAATAAAATACTTGAAAGTAAAAATTTACTGAATAGGTTTTACAGCAAATTGGAGGTGGCAGAAGTGATAAGTTGAATATAGATACATTAATCTGAAATACAGAGAAAGGACTGAAAGAAAATGAATAGTGCTTCAGTGACTTGTGTGATAATATCAAAAAGCCTAACACATGTAATTGGAGTTATAAAAAGGGGAGGGAAAAGGATAGAATAGGAAACCTGTTTGAATAATGTTCCAGAAATTTCCCCAAGTTGGTGAAAGATACGTATTTCTACATTCAAGAATGTCATGAAACCCCACAGATAAATATGAAGAAAACCACACTTGGGAAAATCATTATGAATTTGCTGAAACTAAAGATAAAAAAGAAAACCCTGAAAATAGCCAAACAAAAAGATACATTAGAGACAGGAACAGTGATATGAATAGTGGCCAACTTTTCGTCATCACAAACAAGCCAGAGGACAGTGAGATGACAGTTTTTTAAGTGCTGGTGGGGTTGGGGGAGTGGAAGAAAATCTTTTAACCTAGTATTTTGTATCCAGAGACAATAGCCTTCAAAAATAGAGGTAAAATAGACAATTTTTAGATAAGCAAAGGCTATGAATTTGTCAAATCTACACGACAAAAATGCTAAAACGTTCCTCAAGCATGAGGTAAATATTTGGTAGTGACTTGGATCTTCAGTGAGGAATGAAGGGTACCAGAAGTAGTCAATATGGGGTAAATTTTTAAAAACCTAACATTCTCTTCCAATTTTTACAAACTTGGTTTAAAACACAATTGCTATAGTCAATATTTTAACACTGTATTGTGGAGTTTGTAGTTCATGTAATATATGTGATGGGGACAAAAGAACAATGTTTGCAAATTTCTTATATTTAATATGAAGGGGTACAGTATTTAAGTACACTGAAAGGTAAAGATGTATATTATAATTCCTTGAGCAACATTAAAATACACTCAATGTAAAATATACTAAATGAAAAGAATTATAGCTAAAAAGTCAATAAATTAATTAAAATGGAGTTCTAAAATATTCAGTTAATTTTAATCAGGAAAGGAGGACAAAAGAAACTAAAAACAGGTGTTTAAAAGAAAAAATAGCAAAATGATAAACCTAAATCCAATCATATCAATAACTACATTAAATGTAAATAGACTGAATACTCCAATTAAAATTCAGAGATTGTTAGAATGGGTAAAAAAAGAAAGGGAATTTAAAAATATTTAAAATTAGATGATAAAACACTATATGGCTGAAATTGTGGGGAAATTACATTTTAAATACACGTATTGTGAAATTAGAAAGGTCAAGAACAAAGTATGTATTCAAGTTAAGAAGTGTATTGTGATACAATGAGTTTTGAGAAATACTTATAAGATGTACTTATATAAATACTAAAGAAATATTTCCCAGGTATATTTGATCTTCATCCACAGTTCCTGAAAACACTGCAGAGTCTTAAAGGTGAAATGGTTGTTTTGTTACGTTAATGAGAGACTTTTGCACCCCACCCAAAGGCAGGAGCTAGAGGTTGAATCAGCCAATGGCCAATAATTTAATCAATCATGACCATGCAATGAAACCCTCACAAAAGGCCCCGAGAAGGACTTGGCACTCTCTTGGGCCCCGCTTCTCTGTTGGAGAGCGCACTTCTATACTTGGGGAAGCATGATGCCCCCCAGAGCCAGGCCCCAAGCTCCATAAGGATAGAAACTCCTTTATTTGGGATCTTGCCCTGTGTATCTCTCCCTCTGTCTGTTAACTTGTACACTTTATGGTATCATTTATTAAACTGGTAAATGTGTTTTCCTGATTTCTGTGAGCCACTACAGCAAATTAATTGAACTTAAGGGGGAGGTCGGGGAACCTCCAATCTGTAGTTGGCAGGTCAGAAGCACAGGTAACTGCCTGGGGCTTGTGACCAGTGTCTGGAGTGGGGGTTGGAGGGCAGTCTTGTAGGATGGAGGCTTAACCTGGGGAATCTGGTGCAACCTCTGGGCAGAAAGCGTCAGAATTGAGTTGAGTTCTTGGACATGCTGCTGGTTTTTGAGAATTGCTTAGTGGCGTGTGGGAAGATCCTCCCGCACACACACATTGGACTTGAGTCTGGGAACCTGAAAGGAGTTATAATACTGTTATTCTGCAGTGTACACTATTGTTGTGTATGGAAACACCAACATGTATTAAAGACCAATTGGATATATGCAAAATTTTTGGGTGGTATGTGGTGGGCCAGTCTCTATACAGTGAGTAATTTTTTTAACTGGATACCTACTATGTGCCAAACACTCTTATAGTCACTGGGAAGACAATACTAAACGTGACTCACACGCTGTGTCTTCATTGTACCTCAGGGAGAGACGAAAGGGGCTGGGGGTAGACTATATGGACTACATCCAAGAGAGAATCGGTAGTTATGCAAGATAGCTTACATGCGCGCGCACACAGACTCACTCACCCACCCACTCACTCAAACTCACAAATCACAGGTGCACAAAGTCACCAGGCAGAGTCCAGATCTCCACCCTACCCTCCAAGGGTTCCATCCCTAGACCCGCCCACAAGCCCCGCCCACTTCCTTTGGTTTTCCGCGGGCCCAGTGCGTCTGGCGCTCCTCTGCGACCCAATCCGCGAAAGCGAGGTCACCTGAGACCCAGCTTTTAGCTTTCTGAGCCAGACGGCGGCGCCTGGCTGCGCAGTCCGAGCGGGCGACGGCTCCTGGAAGGGCCCGGGCCTCGGCGGGCTTCTCAGAGGCGGCTTGTACTTCTGGGAAGCAGAGTTGGGCTGAGACGGTCATGCCGGACCAGGAAGCACCCACAGGGAACAGAGGCAGTGATCCCCTGGTAAGGAGAGGAACCGTGTCTGGCAGCCTCGGTGCCGTCGCTGTCGGGACTACATTTCCCAGGGGCCATTGCAGCGGGAGGACACACACACACCCCACTTCCGGGGAGAACGAAAGGTGTGGAAGTGAGCGACTCCGGCGGGTTCTGAGAAAACCCGGGCTGGGTGGCGCCCGTGGCTCGAGTTGGCGGTCCGGTGCGCGCCTGGGGCGGCGGTGAATGGGCGCGCCTGGCGTGTCGACTGCGCGACTGACAGCGCGTAGCGCGTGTGAGACGGGGGCAGGTGAGGGCGAGTCTGTGCAGGCGCGAGGCGTGACCGACGGGGCCCGGTGAGCTTCTGCGCGTGCGCGCGCGTTCCCGCAGCCCGGGCGACCGCGTGGTGCCTGAAGTGTGGGCGTGAATAAAGGCTCGTGAGCTGCCAAGAGCTGGAGGCCGTCCCGGAGGCCGCCGCCCCGCGCGCGTTCCGGAGTCCTGTGCGGCCCAGGGTCCCGGGAGGCTGCCCGGTAGGGCTGGTGCGCCTGAGGCGATTCTTCCGCGCCCCACCGCGAGGGGGCGGAACTGGACACGGCCGGGCGTCCCGGGCCTGAGGAGCGGTAAGAGCGACGAGGGGAATGTGGCTGCTGCGATGGGTGGAGGTTTGGGGGTGCGGCTCCTCGGGGCGCCCTTGCGGGAGGAGGAAGCGCTGACATCAGAGGTTGGTGGTCCCGGGAGCGCAAAGATCGCGAGGTCACCTGGGGTCAGAGCGTGGGGCTCACTCAGGGGCGTCCTGACTTGGCCCAGGGTCCCCTAACCGCCCTTCCCTCGCTGGGCTTGGGCGTGCTTCCAGGGCCCGGGGCAGAGAGCGTTCCCGCGGAGCATTATCTCCGAGGGCGCCGCTGCCCCTCAAGGAGGACGTCGGTTAACCCTTGACCTGTCGGAACCCTGCCCCAGACACCGCAGCGGTGCGACTGGACGAAGGCGAGGCCGCAGCTCCGCCCGCACTGCTCACGGGTCCGACCGGCCTGCGGCTTCTCTCCCAGTAAATGGGCGGAACTGTTCCCACCCCCCCTCTCCCCGGCCCCCGCCCCGCCCCCGTCGGGCGGGCGCGGGGAGGGCCGGGCAGCGCCCCGCACAGCTGCCTGCGGCGGCTTGGCCAGGGACTCCCGCGGGGGGCCAGGCTCAGGCCTGAGGCCTCAGGGACGAGGGGGCAGCTGCCCCACCTCCCCCGGATGAGGGCACGGAGGCCGAGACGGGGAAGGTAGCCGCGGGGGGCGAGGCGCCAGGGCTCAGGTCGGCCCGGGCCGGCCGCTCGGCAGCGGCTGGAGGCCGGCGCTCCTACCGCCCTGGGCGGTCGAGGAAACCCACCGTGGCAGCGCGGAGTGACCGCCAGGGCTCAGGTGCCCGAGCCAGCGCCTGGCGGGTGGTCGTCCTTAAGCCTGATCGGTTGTCACGGGGAGACACGCGCCGTAGGTTTGTGAGCAGTAGCTGAGCCCACGCCTGGCCCGCCCTGCGTGGGGCGCCCGCCCCTACAGGTGCTCAGAGTTCCCTCCCGCCGTCGTAACACCGCTCCGAGCGAGCACTGCAGTTGAGAGGAAAGAAACCAGAAGATTACGTTCGGTGCTTTTATCCTCTTCTTAAAGGAAGAAATTTGGCCTAGAGGGGAACAAGGGGCTTCCTCAAAACCGGTTTGTCGCAAGGCGAAATGAGAGCCTGGGTCTTCGGATAGTTCTTTGGTCAGTTGTCTACAAGGCACATGGATTCTTTGTTTTAACAAAGCGAATAGCTCTCTCGGGGAAGATGGCTTTCTCCAAGTTTCACAATCCTTACAGATCTTGACCAGTTAGTTGCACAAGGTTTTATCTTCTGTTATATACTGATGTCTGCTTGAGCAAATAATTTGGGTGTAGGTTCCGGGCGACAGAGCTCCACTGACAAGCTTTGTGACTTGTGCAGACGAGCTTTCCTGTGTGAAATGGCGGCCCTGTTCTGCATTTCACTGAAGACTGTGAAGTTAAAATCAGAGTATTAATACATGCAGCGTGCCCCGTACATCTGTGTTAATGAATGGGGCGCTTTGTGAGAAGTTGTGCACAGCCGGAAAGCACAGAGCAAAATGGAACCCCCCCTAAATTAGAGATCCCCCAGTGAGTGCGTGGCCGGGCAGGGGAGAGGGAGGCGAGCGGGTAGTGAGGGCAGAGAGAGCCGCGGGGAAGACAGGCTGTGGTCCTTAGGCCGCTCAGCGCCCCCTCTCTCTGCCCCTCAGGATAAAGCCCTTCTCCGGGGGAGCAGCTGGGAAGAGGCGGAGGTGATGGAAATTGAGCTTGAAGCCATGTCGCTGGTGAGTTGGATTCCCTTTCTTCCCGAAAGTACAGTCTTGCTTTTCAGGACGTGGTGATGTCTATTTCCTTCTGAAATTGTCTGCTGAGGAGCCCTCCCCTGAGGCCTGGTTCCTGCTTCCTGCCCCTCCAGTCAGTGGTGCGACCACAAGGATGGCTCAGACAGCCCACCGCCCTCGCACAACTCACCTTCCTCCTGCTCACTATTTATCATTCCAGAAATGACCCGCTCTGAGCCCTTCCCTCGTGCTCACACTTTTCCTAGGCATCTGTCAACGCATAAATGCAGTCCGCAGAGGAAATCTGAGAGCCATGATCTGCCCGATCCCCGAATCCCCACCCTGCTCTCGGAGCTTACGGTCTGTTGGTAAAGTGAAAAGGCAGCGAACATCTTCTTATGCAGCGTGGCTGGTGCAGCCGGTGGAGAGTAGACTTGGTCTGGAATAGCGAGGGAGGGCCACTAATAGCCCGTGTGTGTTCCCTTGGGGGAACTACAGAAAGTTGCCGTTCCTCTGGACTCGAGAAGCTCTGAGAGGTCACAGCCTGGCAAAAGGAGATTGTCTTAGCTCCTTCCTGCCTTCGTGGTGAGAGATCCTGGTACGGGATATATCCTGCACAGTCATCCTCTCCTGGACGGAGGAGCAGGCGGGAGGATTTGATCACAGGAGGACGGATTCCAGAGTTGCGTCTTGAAGGAGGCAGGCGCAGCTGAGATGGGTGGCATTTCGGCCACAGTATTCACAGGTTCCTCTTCCCCACCTGACTGGATCCATGAGTGTCTTGAAATGCCAGGAATGTTATGCATCCTTTTTTCTTTCTAGGATGAATATGATAATCTGTTTGACCATCCCCTTGTTATTCCGTAAGTAAATTGTTGCCAGTGTTTTGCTATTCAGTAGAGAGATTGCAGTGGTCTTCCTTGTAATTGGATTTTTGCCTTCATCTGTGATTGTTTTTTTGGACCAAATTCCTAATTTTTCACCTATTTGTGGATTAGTTTCTCAAACTTACTGTACTCTGGGACATTTTTCTTTGTTAACGTATTACTGATATACACTCTTTGAAGGTTCCACATGAAAAACAGTAAGGTTACTACATTCACCCATATTATCAAGTCCCCCCATACCCCATTGAAGTCACTGTCCATCAGTGTAGTAAGATGCTTCACAGTCACTACGTGTCTTCCCTGTGACCCCCCACACACCGTGTATACCAATCATAATACCCCTCAGTCCCCTTCTCCCTCCCTCCCCACCTGCCCTCCCTCACTCCCCCCTTTTGGTAACTGCTAGTCCCTTGGAGTCTGTGAGTCTGCTGCTGTTTTGTTCCTTCACTTTTGCTTAGTTGTTATACTCCACAAATGAGTGAAATCATTTCATACTTATGTTTCTCTGCCTGGCTTATTTCACTGAGCATAATACCCTCTAGCTCCATCCATTGTTACAAATGGTAGGATTTGTTTTCTTCTTATGGCTGAATAATATTCCATTGTGTATATGTACCACATCTTCTTTATCCATTCACCTACTGATGGACATGTACGTGCTTCCATTTCTTGGCTCTTGTATATAGTGCTGCGATAAACATAGGGGTGCAGATGTCTTTTTGAATCTGAGATCTTGTTTCTTTTGGGTGAATTCCTAGGAGTTGAATTCCCAG